TGCATTTGTGGGATCAACAGACTGTCAGGGCATGTCTACCCTAACTGATGCCTGTAGCAAAGGTGGTGGGAGTGCCATAGTGAAACATAATTCACAACGTATGTAGGTGCTACAGCCCAGGTGAGATGAGGCAAATGATGTGCTGGGCATGTACCAGCAAGTTCTGTATCTCAGTTACGTTAACTTTCACAAAGGCCAGGCCACACTAAGGGTCAAAACTACATCTTTTTAGACATGTAGCATATACATATGCACATACAGTTCCTAGCCTGTTCTTTGGAGGGTGTAGACATGCTCTTAAATGCCGTAATACACAGATGGCATGTTTTCTCTCTCTCCTTTTCATTAATTTAGTAATAAAAACAAAAAGAGAGTTAATGACATGAAGCTGCATGCTTTGGAGAGATTCATCAAAATTATACAAGGAATGGGATCCGAGTCCAGTTTCCAGACCAGGCAGAACCAGAGTTCCCTGTGGCTGGATTTGTGCACACATCCTGCACATCACTACAGCAAAGGCTCCAACTAGGCTCCATGCCACAGCAAAGAAAAGATTTCTGGTTGGGCAGTGTGGGGGTTGTTATAGTTGTTGTTTAGAGATGGCAGTGTTTTATTACTTCCCATATGGCATCTGGAAGATACAGTGTAGGCATCTAACAAAGATGGAACAAAAATAGGAACTCCTACCCACTCACTAAGTTCAAATACAGAACCAAGTATCTCCTGGTTTTGCAAAATTAAGCTGCTTTGATTTGACCATGAGAAGGGAGGGAACCAAATACTTATGTGAACCCACTCATGATGGTGATGGCTCTGTCCAAATAGAATCTGAACCTAAATCAGACTGAGTCTGGAGTTTGGTTTTCCCAAAACTGAATGCCAGGCACTTCAGACCATCTCTCTTGCCTTGACCCTGGAAATATTGATGTAAGTTTACAGGGGCAAACTAAATAAGATGACCAGTATTAAATTTGTACCAGCATAATTAATTGGTACAAGTTTGTGGGGGAAGGGATCTTTAACTCAGGCAGGCCTTTGGTGAGTAAGAATTCAGTCACTCCTATTTAGTCACAAACATGAATCTGCATTACCAAAAAATTATCACCCTCCAACAATATGGAAGTATTACCTTGGCACCAATTGCTGCAACTTACTGCAGAGGGCTTGAATGTACCAAGTACCCTGCTGCACGTGCCGGAAAGAGGCATAACCATCAACTGTCGCCATGCCAAGGAGGAAATCAGCTTCTTCTGGAATGCTTTCAGAGGGGGAGATTGTCTGTTGTACAGGAAGCAAGTCAGGATTTTGTGCATCTGCTTCAAGGTAGACAGCACGTTGGATCTGTTTACCCTGACAGGCTTGGATAAAAAACAGTTTTGGTTTTTCAGCCAGTTGTGGACATTGGCTAGCTGTGAAGTAAGATGTGATTGTGCGGATCGGGACTTTTATCTCATCTGTCCCGTAGATTATTCCTGACTCTCCGTGAGATAGAATGCAGCAAATAAAACAGTCCCTGCTCTTGTGATCGTTTGAGAGCTTCCATTCCTCCATGAGTACTTTCATTTGTTCTGAAGTCTGATCCTTATACATTTTCACATCCAGGCCAAGCCATGTAAAAACTCGCTTTAGTTCCTCTGCCATTAAAGAGAGATGGAGAGAAAAGGTGGACAAAAGGAACTACAGTATAAAATTACCATGCAAACGAAGCTGGAGTTACAGGCTTCACATCAGGCTTCTCCTGCAGTCTACCCATTCACTAGAGTACACTAAAGATTTGATAAGGTAGTCAGAGCCCCAGACAGTTACAATAATAAGGTCCAAGACATCCTTCACTTATTTAGAGCAGAGCTTTAGAAAGCAAGATCAGAGGCCTCCATGTAGTTTGGTAGGGTGTGTGTATAGTGCAAATTTTACAAATAAAAAAAGGTATTGTTTATAGGCACTATGTGACCTTTACAAAATTTAATATTGGATTTCTTGCCTGGTAGAACACTGCCAATTCATTTTACAGGTAACCCTGTTTAACATGGTTTTGCTTAGCACTATTTTGCTGTAACGCTCATTTTAAATTGATACCTGATTTCACTTAGGGCTCAACAAGTTTTGTTATAACACTCACGTTCGCCATCTTGGGTCATTAAAAAAAACTTGTGGTTGTCATCTTGGGTTGTCAAATACTTTTGGTTTCGCTTAACGCTTGGTTTTTCAGGAACCAATTAAGAGTGCTAAGTGGGGGTTGCCTGTAGTGATTGGAAAAATTATGGAATTTTTCCGAATTGGTTACATTAGGAATTCAGTGAGCAAAGCACAGACAAACATGAAGAAAGTAAGGATAGTTCACTGATAAAGATTGTTTAATTTTAGTTCTCAATGTGTACCTTAGTTCTCAATGTGTACTACAGAACCTACTGCAATAGGAGATAATCTTGAGTGTTTAATGCTTCCTCTGCTATTGGTATTTCCTAACAAGTAGGGAAGACCACCTCTATGAGGGAATTATGAAGCATGTGTATTAGTGAGAGTCTGCAATATATTTTATAGAAAACAATGGTGAGGGTCAATTGACAACACTATAAAAGTGAAATTCTTTCAGCTTTATTTGTTCCCTTTTCCCATCAAGATGATACATTAAATAGTAAAAAAGTGTTAAACCAGTTAAAAAACCCATACATGAAACTGATTTTTTAAAATTTCCCACAAAAGTAATGCAATTCATTCTTTTTTATGCTTAAAGCATAGAAATAGAATTACGTGTGAAGAGACCGTATTGTGGTTGTTTTGCCTTTAACCAGGATTTGACCCTGAAATGAGCTAGATATAAATACAGAGAAAACCCTGCTTTTGCTTTATTTTTTCAAATTCTTGTGCTCTCCAATTATGACCACGATTTTATGCCAACATCCTGTATTGTATACCAAGAGCTCAATACAAGTACGCAATCTTTACTGAGGACCATTCCTGTTTGTCTGTTTGGTCAGATTTTTTTTTGCTATTTTAAATTAAAATACAAAGCAGAGCAAGACACTTTTCAGCTGCAATTTTTAGCTAAGTCAGAGGAACGCATTAATTTTAAATTAGTGTGCTATGAATACCATTTCTTGCTGAAGTATTTTTTTTATTCTCTATTTTTAAATCAGGGGCCTAATTCTGATTTTTCTTGTCCTAGTGTTAGATCAGAAATAGATGCATTGATGTCAATGTGTTTACATAAAAATAAGATCAAATTCCAGCCACGATTTGGGTGCATATGTTTTCATGGTCTTGGAACACGAACAGCAAAACATTTAGTTTGTAACTAAAGAGCTCTGCATATTAAACTTGTCTGAAAAAAGTGAAAGCACAGCTTCAACTGAAATATTTGTAGGCTGTGGCTAGCTAAATATATTACGCCTCTACAAATAAGAGGTCAAACTATTAACAAATTGCATACAAAGGAGCTGTCACACTTAATGCAGTAGTGGCTAGTAGTGCTGTGAGAAAGTTATCTAACAATAACAGTAGACCTCTGATAAGCTAAATATAATCTCAAGTTTTAAGATGAATGTTCTGTTGGAAATGCAGTTTGGCTTCACTAGTTAAAGATACCACTGTATACTCATCTTTGTTTAGTGATCCTGTTTACTTTTCTACTTAGAATACAAGTAGGGTTGAGTAGCCAGATCTCACAAGTCACATTATTTGACTTTTATGAAAAAAGTAGACTATACAAGGCACAGTCAAAAGCAGAGAGATGTAGTTAGCCATGTTAGTCTGAAGTCAAGTAGAAAGCAGGATAGATTTGTACCACAGAGACTAACTAAAGTATTTTTTTTATAGTACAAGCATTTGTGAGCTGAAGCATCTGATGACGGGAAATCTACCCTGTGTTCTACTTGACTTCAGACTAACATGGCCATATCTCTCTACTTATCATTATGTCATTAAACCAAGAGCAAATACAACAGTGAGGAGCAGTGGAACAATTAAAAGGGGTACAGCAAAACCAGAATGAAAAATTTAACAAAAGTCACTTACCCGCATCTTTACCAGAGCCTTTTCTCTCTGTCAGAGTCCGAGAAAAAACAGAATTATTAATAATGAGGCAATATCCTCTATGAAGTCCATCCATGTTATAGGTCATCATCAGCTTCTACAGATAAAGAGAAGGAAAACCAGATGACAGTAACTGTAAGTTTACACTCATTTGAGCAAGAAGAGCACTGAGTTATTTCAACTGCTAGAAGCTGCACTATTTATTCCTAGAGCAGCACAGACACTTGATATTGTTGTGATGCACATGTAGTTTTGGTATAATAACTTCTAGGAACCAAAGCAGCAGCAACAGTTGCTCCCATAATCTCCATTCATGCTACAGGTAAGAAGACAGGAGGGAAACTTCATGTTGATCAAGTGGTACAAGGAGCAAGAGAACTTGCAAACAGTTCCCATGAAGGTACCAAACAACTGAGAACAGCCCAGTCCTTCAGGTTATTGACCAGGAAGAAAACATGCTTCATAGCTCCTGTAGGTTTAGTTCATTTTCCCCACAAGCTGGATCACCTTTCCATTCCAGGACCTGTCTGAAATTGAAGTAAAGTATAAAGGAAATCCCTCTGGAGAGGAGAGGTTGTCTAGAAATCCCTGGTCTTTGGGTAATTTAGTCCCCC